CTGTGAGTTGACTAGTTTTCTGAAACAGTAAGAGTGGCATCATGTATATGAGCGATCTTTATAAATACTGTGAGTTGACTAGTTTTCTGAAACAGTAAGAGTGGCATCATGTATATGAGCGATCTTTATGCTGTGAGTTGACTTTTGAATCAGTAATAGCTGCAAGCCTATTTTAATGAATTATCCCTTAAAAAGTATAATATTAGTTTGCATTAAGTGCTTACATAATTCCATATTTGATTCACTAATATAAAGTTTTCTTTGTTGAATATCCCATTTAGCAATATGGGTTTTGCTGTAGTTTCATGGAAAACCCAAAATGGTGTCCCTCTTGAGAAAGAGGAGTTTGAAGCCATAGCCTTAGCAAAGGTTATAATGATGAATAATGGCAAGAAAGAAAAAGGTGCTGATGTCACCATGGTATATCAAAAAGTACTCTGGGGTGGAACCATACACTCTTTACATGGTATATATAAGTTTGATAAATTGATTAGACTATCCTTCAGCCTATTTAATATGACAAAATGATAGGCCTGTTGTATTATACTTACATGTAACTGTAAATTTTTATACATATGTATAGGATCTATACATTCTTATTTTGTTTTGTTTGGGTTTTCTTGTTTTAAAGATCTAATCTAAATCACTGTTTTTTTGATCTAAAACATTGTAGATACGAAAAAAGAAGCATGCGATGAATTAAACAAAGAAGTTCCTCAAGTAAAAACCCCTGTCCAGCAAAAAAGGGCAAGGAAACAAAAAGACTACGGAGATCAGTATGTAGAGGAAATTTCAGATGCCGAAAATAATGATGAGACTCCAAAGTCAAGCAAAGGAAAAGGTACTACAAGGTTTATGTATAAAGTGACAAATTAATTAAAGTGCAGTTTAAAGTTGTATGCTTTTGATGTTGATTAATGTTGCTTTCTTTCAATATAGCCAGTAAAAAACGGCAAAGGACTGCAGCTGTTGATGAAATCACTGAAAAGTGTGATGCAATAATTGTCAATGAAATTTTAAATCCTGTTCCACCTCGAGTGAACTTGGCCGAAAAGGAAGTGTCGTCAGATTCAGACAGAGAATCTGATGGCTGCAGTGGGAATCAGCCAACAAAATTAAAACATCCACGTTTTGGGGGCAAGCAGCCCAAAAAGCACACACTTCCGAAGTGCATCAGTCAAGACTGCAAGAAAGTCAAGTTGGAACTGGATGACACAAAAAAAGAACTGGAGGCGGTAAAACAAGATTTATCAAAGGCTTTGGATAAGATTAGTAAGTGCAAACTATAAATTCTGGAGTAACTACATGTAGGAGTCGTTCACTTGACATACAATGAAATAAGAAATGTCACATGTTAAATAAGCCAATTTTTTTAAATTAGAATTTCAGGTAAAGCCGCATTTTTTGTATGTACATTACATGTAGAGCAGAGTCACATGAACCATGAAATAAAAACTAAAATGTACTAACTAATAGGCACTATTACATAGTTCTTAATAGTCGTTAGCACTGAACCAGAACAGTTTATTTGATCCAATAAGCAATACCCAAGAGACCACTATAACAATCAAAGTAATCTCTTTGTACTGTTTGGTTTCAGTGAAAGTGTCTAAATAGTGCCTATTAGTTTCTAAGTATTTAGTTTCTATTTCATGGTTCAAGNTGATATTATAATGATATTTAGATATTTCAACAATTCTCATAATTTTTGCAAAAGGCTGTACTGGTACTGCAAAATTTACTTAAAATAACAAATTAAGTTATTTTGTGTATTTAACTTTTTTGTTTCTTTCAGATTTCTCAATGGTTGCAAAGCTCACAAAAGAGCCAATCAAACGCAAATGTAAGGTAACAGAAGATGGAAAACAGCCTAAGCCCCCCACACCTGATTCGAAGAGCAAGATCAGGCAGGCATTGCGAATGAAGTGCAACACACTCATTCGCTACAATGCTTATAAAAAAAGTAATATAAGCAGGTATGATATTTTAGTAAAAATATAATAATTGATAATAATAATAACAATAAATTATACTTTAGAGATAATAACAATTTATATTTCATAATTATACATGAAATGTTATTTTGGGGCCAGTATTAAACCTAATCTTTATTATCTTTGTAGACCTCAAAAAACAGAACAACTTGCGCCTGAAAGTTCGCCCCAAARTAAGGAAGCTTAAGACAACAAGTTTGTTAGAGTTTGTTATTATATGTTACCGTTTTTAAATAGAAATAATTGAATAATTTTTCAAATAAATAATTGAAGAGAAAACTAAAACATGGACACCAAATTAGAAACAACTATTAATTTCCAATTCTAATATAATTAAAGAATTTATTATTTTTATACATTTTATAGTTGAATCAGCGATAGTTTTGATAGTTTTATATTTCTGAGATCAAAGAGCTTTTTTTCATGGCCATTGAAAAGGAAAGTTCAATTTCAGGCAGACTATACACTAGGTAATGCATAATTGATATACACTAGGTAATGCCTATTTCTGAACTAGGTAATGCCTATTTATGTACTAGGTAATGCCTATTAATTATAAGTTAATGCC